TAACGAATAAACAGCCCCCTTGTTGAGATTAATCCCTAGGACTTTTTTTGTTTTAACTGTTTCCAAAGTTTCTTCTGGGTTTTCCTTGGTAGTCTTGAAGAAGTCAATTATATAGTATATATTTTTTTGTGAGTAAACATTTTCTTTGTCTTCAGACATGTTACACGAACATGTCTTTTGACTCTTCTACAGTCCAGCCTCTGAATTTGAATCAACACACTCATTTCAGAAGCAAAAATAAGCAAAATCATTTCAGCAAAATATGACAGGAGCTTAGTACACTAAACAGAAGTTCCGTAGCAGAGCTTGTGTCAGTTTTGGGTGGCCTCCCATGGTATGATTGCTCCACCGAGGGCAAGTCCCTATGCAAATCAAAGAAATAAAACATCCTGTGTGCTTGAGTGAGTCCACTGAAAGTCATAGAGGAAGAGCATCCTGGAAAATATATAAATAAACCACATCAAAGGGTGCCAAAGAGATTTCCCTAATTAGAAGTTTTAGTGGGTCAGCAGAAAGTGGTCCCAGGAGAGATAACTTGTTTGGTATTTGAGCAGCAATCGGTTTCAACATGAACACATTGTTACAGAGCTGTAAAGAGTACTTTTGGTGGAAAACTTTGCTTAACCCAAAGCAATTTAAATACATAAAAATTCAACCCCTCTTCACTGAGGACAGCACAGCCTTACCCCAAATAAGCCCAAACCCATATACATTAGCACTGATAAGGTAATTTCTAACTTTAGAACAAAATAAAACCTCTCTGTAAAATTTCCACAGAAAATATTCACAAAAGTAGAATGCTGCATCCTTTTACCGAGGAGCAACTAGCGGGTTGGGACCACAGAGCTTGTGCTTAGCTGCTGAATGCTTTGAACACGTAATGCCAGGACTACTATTTTCCCAAATCATAAGGTGAGTATGAAATGTTTTAAACTAATATTCAACATTTAATTCATGATGTTATTAAAATTAATACTTAATATTTGGTAACCAATGTTGTGTTTTTTAAAGCAGCTATTGTAGATTTCTGTATATAGTTATAAGTATATATTACCCTTGAACAATGGTTTTAGGGAAATTAAATTATTTTGAAACAGTGAAAATTTGAAAAAAAATTTGTTTTTGATATTAAGTAATATTAGAAGGAAACTTCATTTTCAGTAAGACTTTGAAGCAAATAAGGATTCCATTTATGCATTTTAATTCTGGTGATATTTTAATAACTTATTTAAAGTATGTTTCTGTTTTGTATGGTCATTGTTGCTGGGTCCTTGTTTCTCGTTTGCACTGGTTACATGCATGTATCTGTATAGGGAAATAAACATGGGTGGATTTATGAAGACATAGCTGGATTAATGACATGGAAGGGGAAGGTGGGGAAATGAGGCGTCAACATCAACCAATGTAAGGAAGAAAAGGACATAGATAAATAGAGCTAAAAATTCCATGTAATGCAACTCTGTGGAATCTGAAACACATTTATTTTATTGGAAATATTTTTAAGCTAAAGTGAAAAAGCAATAAAGAAACTTATAATTTGATATTGTCAACCATACTGTTTCAGGGCTTAATTTTCTACATTAGAGCCAATGTACAAGCTTAGATAAAGTTTAGGTTGACTATAGATATTGAAATAATTAGTCACTCATAAAAGCTCTCATAAAACAACAGTAGCAGTGTGAAAATCCATGTTAAACATAAAATATTGATGTTTTGGGTTTTATTATATTTGAAACCCAAACCAAAGATTATGGAAGTAGTTATCAAAAGGACCACACCAGCTCCTGTGATCCAAGGAGTGTAAAATCTAAGAACAGAGGAAGGAATGGTATGACAGCTTAAATTTTGAGCACCCAGTTTGCATAATACTACGGAGGACAGTGAAAACCCAGAATCCATGTGCCAAGTCCTTGTATGGATTTCTTAGAATTTCCTGGGACCACTGACCAGGGGTGGGAATAATCTTGTTCCCAGACAGAGTGCATTGGCAAGTGGCTTACTATAGATACAGTTAACGTTAAATTTAACATCTTACCATTTCTTTTTCCTTTTGTCTTATTTATAACATGTTCTGGATTTTATTACTTTCTACTTCCTCTTGGATTGAGTTATTTCTGTATTTTATTTTGTTGTTGTTAATTTATTGTTTGTTTCTGTCTGGTTTTCTTTATTTTACATCCAGGTTTTATAAACATAAAGAGATAGTAACTAGACTAATAGCTCCTTAAGGTTTTGAAAAGGAAGACTGGGGAGAATGAGGAGCTAGTAATAATGGACCCAAGAAGAAAATAATATAACATTGACTGTGGTGATGATTGTACAATTGTTTTTAATATACTTAACTGCTGAGTTATGTCATAAATGAATTATATGCTAATAAAATGGAAAAAATCACACAAACTCACAAAAAAACATTAATAATAAAAGTGTCAAGTGACATGTTTCATTGGGCAAATCTGCTGCAAAGACTTAATTAAAGTATGGGAAAGCACATATGTCATTTTGAAGACTAAAGTGTGCCAAACATAAGGCTTAAGTTTTCACTTCCTTCTCATGCATGATAGGCTGGACAACCGATAAAAAACATATAGAAGAAGAATTGATACCTTTAGATTATGGCATGGAGAAATATATTGGATATGTCATGAACTACCAGAAGGATAATCAAATGTATCCAGAAGGAAATACTGCCAGAATGTTCCTGACAAGGGAAGATGTGGTTAGATTTCATACCACTTCTCGTGTCTTTTGGACGTGTGATCAGGAAGGGCCAATCCATAGACAAGGACCTCAGGTAGAGTAGTGCAGCAGCCACAAAGGAAGAATCTCAATGAGATGAATACACACAGTGGTTGCCACAGTGACCTCAAAATCAAGACAGGCGATTGTACTCAGCCGTAAACCCTGAGTTAGAATGGAGTCAATGGAACTTCACAATAATAATTTTTAAAATTTAATGGTGTCATTTATAAAGTAATGTAGAAAAAAGATATATCGTTAGTCCTCTTGTAAGTCTTAATTATCTCACTTTTAAGAATTATGCTTTAATTTGTATTATATTAATTCCCATATTTCAGTTCAGAATAAAATCCTGAATATCATATGTGTGCACAGGCAATATCGAAGATCTATATTAATATCAGGTAGGATAATAATCACAGCTCATCTCTAAGAGCATCTAATATCAGTAATAGAATATGCACACAAAGGTTATTACCCTAGTTGAAATTCAAAGTGCTGAGCAGTGTTAGACACTGTGGTTGTTACGGTCCACAGAGTACATATATTGATATAAATCCCAACTGTTGGCAGAAGATTCATGAAAAAGAAATTTGAAATTTGTTTATTGTTTTTATAATTATTTTTAATACTTGGAAAATTGCTCTTAAAGGATCATTTCATTTCTGCAGCAAATTTTTGATGAAAGGGAAGATGAATTAGAGAGAGAATTGTTGTACAGAAAACTGTAAAATTCAGAATAATAAATTTTAAATGTTACCAGTAACAATAATAATAAAACCCTAAGTAATATTAATAATACTATTAATTAATAACTTAAATAGTCCAAAGGCCAGGACTTCTTCAAAATGCTTCACTTTTACTAAATGATTTAATTCATAAAGAAACCATAAACATCGATATAGTTGTTTGCCTTTTGACAGCTGAACAAACTGACACTGGCAGATGAATTGATTAACTTGCACAAAGTCATCATACATGTAGATGTTGTTGGAACTCTAATTCTAGTCCATCTGGGAAATAGTGTTCTTTAACCATGCTTAGGAGCTTTGGTGGTTCAGAGATTCATGAGTTATATGACAATCAAAAGGTCAAAAAGTTGGTGACTAAACCTGCCAGGCATTTTTCAGGGAAAAAAATGAATTTCCAACCTGAGAAGCCTTGTGAGTCGGTTCTCCTCCGTCCTGTGTGCCAGAGTCAGAAGGGACCTCTCAGCCATGGGTTTAGTTTGGTTTAGTTTAGTTGAACATAACTTCTTAACGATGCCACTATAGTTCTGTTCTGCTTTGTGTACAAACCGAATAGGATGGATACATGGAAAGCAGTTAGAAAAGAGGCAAGTGGGATTCAAAACGTAAGGAAGATCACATGAGTACAAGGAAAGTCATCACTGTATCCTTATGTTTTGTAGTACCGCACGCGTCTCACATACTAGTTTTTATCCTTACCCTGGTGAAATAGATTGGTGAGAATAATTGGGTTTATTTTTGTGGGGGGGTTTTGAGGAACAATAAAAATAATGGAGTGTGTGCATGACGCCCAGCAAAATTGACATAACGTCTTTCTTCCTCCTGTCCCAGGCATATGCACACACAGTAAGTAAATCCCCTCCATGATCCCCCTATTTTCCCTGAGAGACATTTATTGTATGCATCTGAATTAATGTTCCATGCTAATTTCCATGAGTAAAATCTCAGATTTTACCCAGCTAATATCCTTTCAAAAGATATTACTTTTATTTTCCTATGTAAAGTAAGTATTCTCCCTATGTTTTTCCTTATCTATCAAATACAACCTGTAAAACAGAAGGCTACAGGCTTAAATGATCAACGGATTAGAGAATTAAATACTGAAAGAGAAAGTTGAAAATATATGTTGAAAGATATTTCTGGTCATTGTCTAAAATGCCTGACACACAGGCATGTGTCATGTGGAATGCAGAGAAGCACAATAGCATTTTCAAGATGTAAAATTAAAGTAAAATGAGAACAGATAAGAAAGATGAAGGTCAATTTGCTGCATTTGAAACTTAGCACACGTTCTGTGCTAACTAACAAATAGCTTGGTTTACTCAGGGCTGTGCTTCTAAAATATTACAGTGAAATAATCTAAAAATAATTTTGTATGAGACCATTTACTGTGACATAAGAGGAGACTGTAGTGCATGTATAAATTTTATTATTCTTAAATTGTAAACAATGTCAGTTTTCAAAAAGCCAATCAAATATCTCTACAATTTGGAAATGAGAGACAGGAAGGGAAAGGAAACACATATGCAAATTTGTTTTCCACAGATGAATAATGAAGAAAAACCATCAGAAGAAAATCTAACTGGATTGATGGAATTTGTTCTCTTGGGTTTTGCTGACTTGCCCCATCTACAGTGGTTTCTTTTTGGATTGTTTTTAACCATCTACATTATTATCCTCATGAGCAACGGCACCATCTTTCTAATAACCAAACTGGATCCTGCTCTCCAGAGTCCAATGTACTTTTTCCTGGCAAATTTCTCTTTTCTTGAAATGTGCTATGTATCCGTTACTCTGCCCAGAATGCTGATGGATCTTGGAACCCAGAGAAGAAGAATTTCCTTAGTTGCCTGTGCTACACAGATGTGTCTTGTCCTTATGCTTGGAGGCACAGAGTGTTTGCTTTTGACAGTGATGGCCTATGACCGCTATGTGGCCATTTGTCACCCTCTGCACTATTCTCTCATCATGAACCACAGGCTCTGTATCCAGCTGGTGATTGGCTCCTGGATTACAGGAATTCCAGTTCAGATTGGACAAACATACAAGAATTTCTCTTTGCCATTCTGTGGATCTAAACAAATCAACCACTTCTTCTGTGACATCTTCCCAATACTCAATCTGGTTTGTGTTGACACCTTTGAAAATGAGATGTTCATCTACATGGTATCTGTGTTCTTTGGCATAGTTCCATTTCTGTTAATACTTGTCTCCTACAGTAAAATTATCTCCACTATTTTGAAGTTGCCATCAGCCAAAAGTCAAGCCAAAGCCTTCTCCACATGCTCATCTCATCTCATGGTTGTGATGTTATTCTTTGGAACCGCTATCATGACATACTTAAGACCCAAGAACAGTCACTCAGGGGGAACTAGCAAGGTGCTTTCTCTTTTCTACACCATTCTAACTCCAATGCTTAATCCCATGATATATAGTCTAAGAAACAAGGATGTCATAGTGGCACTGAGAAAATTGCTATGAAATAGTTCACTTCTTTAAAGGATAATTTGACTGAATAAGAATTGCATTTTTATACATTTTAATCAGCTTTCCACTTCTAACTGTATCTTGCCATACAGTGGTAACTATTCACAATTAAAAAATATTGCTTATAATATCAGATCTCCCCAATATGTATCAGCATGCTATATAATTAAAATGCTAAATATAAAGTTATTAAATTATTATAACTTCATTGTGCAATATTATCTCTCAAAAAGAGCTTTTGCTGGGCTTGATATAATGTAGTCAGCTGTAATAGATACTCTATTGTTTATTGTAAAACATGTTATTCATTTCTATAAGTGAGCATGCAGTTTGACAACAGTTTTGAAAACAGATTAGTGACATGTTTTGAATGAAACTGTATATAAATTTTAAGTTCATAATAACTTTTCAGAGAAACTATTCCCAAGAGGAAGAGAATTTTTTTTAATTTCCATCTTCATTTAGTTAAAATTTATTCTTCCCTTATTGGTTGCTATTGGAACACTTTTAATTCATGGAGACTTCATGCATTTCTAAGTTGAACTGTATCCCATAAGGTTTTTTAAAAATTAATAAATCATTTTATTGGGGACTCATACATATAATAATCCACAAATCAATTATATCAAGCAAACTTGTACAGATGTTCCCATCATCAATTTCAGAATCACTTTCCTTTTTCTTGAGTCTTTTAATATCAGTTCCTCCTTGTTCCCTCCCTTCCCTTCCCTTTTCTTGAATTTTCTTTTAGAACTATAATGATGTCTCAATATCATTGAACATTGGGTTTGATTTTTGTGTATATTGGATAAAACATTTTTATATAATGCCATAGCTTGATTTTAAAATATCTTATTAAAATATTTACATATAATTAGGCAATCAACTACATATAATTAAAATTCAAAAAAATACATTTTTACTTTTGGTTGTGCTCATTTTTACTTTCTAGAGATAATCATATGATGAAAAGATCATGAGACAGGAAATCTATTTACATAAAAATTCTGAATAAATAAAAGTTACCACATGTGTCCCTAGTACCCAGCACACATACACATACAGCCAAACACATTAAGAATGATTAATGGAATATACCATTAATGTTAATTATGGATAGTCTAAATACATTTTTCTACTGTTTTACTTTAATATTTTTTGGTGCTTACTGCAATGAATCAACCTCTGTTATTCATGTAATAATAAAGGTGAAACAATAAATCTTTTTTCATGTGCCCAATATAAATTATAGTAGCTCCTTACTTGTGTTATCTTTCTTTTTATTATTGCTATAATTAGCCTGATTCCCTTTTAGCATTTTCAGTTTATCTAGTGATTCTTTCATATATGAAGGCAACAGATCTTCAAAACACAGGATCTATTCCAAGGACATACAGTTTAAATAGAGTGTGTGGATGCTTTCATATACTTTAAATTTTTTGTTTATAAGTAAAGCAGGTCAGTTATGCCTATGTGTACATGGACAAACCTTGCTCCAAATGGGGAAAGAAGTGCAGTAATTATTCCCACTGAAAAAGAATATGGAATATCTCTGATAACGCAGAGGAAATAAATCTAATCTGGCACAGAGCAAAGACAACCAGAAAGAGCACAAAGATTCTAAGACAATGTGCATATTAAAAACTATGAAAAAAATCTAATGATAATTATCAGACACATGAATGTCAAACAAATGAGAACAGTGTTGTTGTTGCTATTCTTGTGAGATGCCACCCAGTTTGTCCTGACTCATATTGACTCGACCGGAAGTACAACAGAATGAAACATTGCCCTGTCCCGTGCCACTCTTACAAATGTTTTATGTTTGAGCCCCTTGCTGCAGACATGGTGTCAGTCCATCTCATCTCTGTTCATTATGATATTACTTATTGGCAAAGTTGCAAGGATTTTTTTGTTTTCTTTAAATTAACTTGAAATCCATACTACAGGATGCAATCCTTGGTCCTCATCAGCAAAGACTTCAAGTCCTCCTCATTTCAGTTAATAAGTTTCTATCATCTGCATGTTACAAGAGAGTCTTTTGTCAACTTGAATTTGTATGAAAGAGTGGGTGTGAAGCAGAACCTGTCAATCAGGTCATAGTTTGATGATGCCTCCTTGGGGGTGTGGCCTTCTTATTAGGAAGAAGCTGGGAAAGTCCCTCTATTTCTCATTCCCTTTGCCTTCCTGCTTCGGGCATTCTGCCTGCCTCCAGGGATGGCCAATTGTGGGTTACTCCACCGTGGGATCTGTAGGTGCCTGCCACGTATTCATCAACTTTGGAACCACAGGACTCTGCATGCACTAGCCTGAGTTCTGCACCCTCATTGACTTTTCTGCATCATCAGCCTACATCTGAAGAGGACCCTGGCTTGCATCAGACTTGTGGACTTAATTTCAACTGTGTGGGGATGTCTTCTTGCTACAAGGTTATTGATCTAAAGCTCTTCCATATATATGTATGAACGTCATCATTGGATTTCTTTCTCTCAACAACCCAGGTTAACCAAGAGATTACATAATTGTGAGATATTACAACCCTAACACACACCTCTCTTATTTTAACAGTTTTATGGACATATAATCCACATATCATGCAATTAAATAGTTCAATTCTATTAAAAATTGTTGTGCAATCCACCACCACAAACAATTTTAGAACATTTTCTACTTTTTTGTATTCATTGTTATTACCTACCCAATTCCCCACTCCCCAACTTCTCCTGCCATAATCCTAAGAAACTATTAATCCTGTTACTGTCTCTATAGATTTGCCTATCCTAAACATACAAAACACAAAACAAAACAACAAACCAATAAAAATAAAACATGAGCTAAACATCAATTGAAAAGTTTGGACAATATTTAAAAATAGAGCAAATTTAAAATGAGTCAAGAGAGTGATAAAATGCAGCACAGTTCACAATTGCAAAGAGTTGGAAACAGCCCAAATTTCCATCAACAGACGAATGGATTAAAAAACACTGGTATGTACATAAAATGGAGTATTACGCATCTCTAAAAAGCAGTAATGAACACATGAAGCACATCGTCACATGGGAAGAACTGGAGGAAATTATGCTAAGTGAAGTAAGCCAAGCACAAAAGGACAAGTACTATATGAGTACACTGAGGTAAGCTCAAAAATTCAAAAGGGGCATAGGGAAGAAGCTACTGTATACATACATCCCTGGGGTGAGGTCCAGGTAATATGGCAGGGGCCAGACTAAACTCTGGGATACATATGGGATACATATGGTAGCCCACTAAAAAGGCGGGGCATGGGTAGTCGGGGGAACAGGGCACTAACCCACACAGGGGGAGGGTGTTGATTGTGTCTCCACAGGGAAAGTGGGACCAGACTTCAACCTGGAACTCTAAGACAAGAACGCAACACACTGACATGAAGCAGGGAACTGATAGAGAGGCCTGAGAGGTCAGCCCCATTACCACCTAAGTGGACAGCTCCCCCCTCCCCCCAGAAGCGTTCACTTCAGAGGACAGCACTGAAGCTACAGCTCAAGAAGAGGGACTTGTCTGATCAGAGCACACAGGAGCCAACAAAGGGGAAGGGGAAAAAGAAAAGAGTGAAGTACATCCTAGCTCACTAAGCCCTGAGGACAATGTTTCTGCTCAGAGCAGCAATTCACAGAGAGGACCGCAGGGCCGGCTTCACCATGGGACACAGCGTTCCTCACTGACCCATAGCACCATTGGGGACAATGCTAGAGACACTATGAGGGGGAAATAGATCTATGTAGAGATATTTATAGGTTTAGTATTAAGGAAACAGATGCACAGTGGGTCCTTACTCAAGTACTCCCTCAACACAAGAACACTTTGTTCTAACAATTCAGCAGTCTGAGATGCTCACCTTTCTGGCACGATTGCTGAAGACAATGGGTGCGCAAGCAAATGTGATGAAGAAAGCTACTGGTGCCTGGCTATCAAAAGCTATATCATCTGAGGTCTTAAAGGCCTGAAGATAAACAAGCGGCCATCTAACTGAGAAGCAACAAAAACCACATGGAAGAAGCACACCAGCCTATCCTGACATAATTGCTGAAGAAATAGCGGCTGCCTAAGCAAATGCTGTGAAGAAAGCTGATGGTGGCCAGCTGTCAAAAAATTTATAATCTGGGGTCCTATAGGCTGGAAGATAAACAAGTGGCCATCTAATTGAGAAACAACAAAGCTCACATGGAAGAAGCACACCAGCCTGTGAGATCACAAGGCATTGAATGGATCAGGTCTCAGAGACCAAAAAAAAAAAAAATCATAGCATTGTGAATGAGGAGGAGTGCAGAGTGGGGACCCAGGGCCCATCTGTGGGAAATTGGACATCCCCTTGCAGAAGAGCAGCGGGTAGGAGATGAGCCAGTCAGGGTGCAGTGTAGCAATAATGAAACATACAATTTTCATTTAGTTCTTGAATGCTTCCTCCCCCTCCCACTATCATGATCCCAATTCTACCTTACAAATCCGGCTGGACCAGATGATGTACACTGGTACAGATAGAAACTGGAAACACAGGGAATCCAGGACAGATGAACCCCTCAGGACCAGTGGTGAGAGTCGCGATACCGGGAGGGTGGAAAGAGGTTGAGGGAGAAAGGGGGAACAGATTACAAGGATCTGCATATAACCTCCTCCCTGGGAGATGGACAGCAGAGAAGTAGGTGAGGGGAGATGTCAGATGGTGTAAGAGACGACAAAATAATAATAATTTACAAAGTATCAAGGGTTCATGGGGGAGGGGGGAGCAGCGGGGAACAAAAACAATGAGGAGCTGATACCAAGGGCTCAAACAGAAAGCAAATGTTTTGAGAATGATGAGGGAAACAAATGTACAAAATTGCTTGACACAATAGATGGATGTATGGATTGTGTGGTAAGAGTTGTATGAGCCCACAATAAAATTATTTTTTTAAAAAGAGTGATAAATGATAAGATGTGAAAGTTGAACCTATCTATATTTACAGTAATCTTCTCTA